AAAACAAAACAAAACAAAAAACCCCTGCACTTATTGCTAAAGTTAAAAGGATTAAAATAGTGAAAATTTTACTAATGATATTGTGTCTGAGATCCGCCTCAAAATAATTTGGCAGGGAGAAGGCAAGTGTACATAGATGGAGTAAGATTGATTACTGTTGACACAAGCTGATAGGTGTATGAATGCTCAGTATACTACTTTATTTTGTATATATTTAAAATTGTCTAGAATAAGAAGCTTTTTAAAAGTGAAGTATAACATCCCTAATACTTCTACTTGTAAACTGTTGTCTTTAGCCATGTCTGGCATTTTTAACCACATAAAAATGTTTCAAGCCTTTTTTAAAAAAACAGGAAATATTCTCTCAAAAGCCCTAGTTTTAACACTTTATTTACCTTAAGTTTCCTCCACTAACACAGTATCTTACTGTGACTATGCAAAGATATTTGATATTGATAAAAATCAGTTGTAGGAACACTCCAAATTCTGTTGCAAAGCTGAAGTATGCAACAATGATAAAGCTTAACTGTAATAATAAAAAGCAACAACTTTTTAAGATGTAGCTTTAATTCCAATACATTTTTTAATAGCTATTAGAGTCTAACGTTTTACATCTTTACAACTGCCATGTATTGACGGCCTAAGGCATGCCAGCTACTTTATAAACAATTTCTAATCCTAAAAACTCACTTTAAAAATAAGGAAACCAAAGTGATCTACCTGTGGTCATACCACAAAACGCAGAGCTAGAATTAAGGTCCAGGTTTAACTCTGCATGTAGCTCTCCAAAGCTACGCTCCTCTCTCATTCATTCAAAAGATATTAAACACCCACTATGTGCCTGGCACTGTTACAGGCACTGGGGCATTTAGGATATGCCAAGCAACGTGCTAAGGGCTTTCTTTAAACCCCATTTAATCCTAGCAACAACTCTAAGATGCAGATTCAATTATCCCCTTTATAGTTAAGGACACTGAGTCCGAGAAGTTAAGTAACTTGCTTAAGATCACTTAACTAAGAAGTGGAAGGACTGGAGGAGGAGCCCTTGACAGTGTGACTCCAAAACTCTTAACCACAGCATACCTCTAGGCATGATCAAGTAAAACTGCCTAAGCAGAACTTGGAAGAAAAAATTTGGAAAGGCTTGGGGGAACAATGGGGTAGAAGCTGGATTATCCCAAGGTCAAGTTTGTCCTGAACAATGAAATCTAAATAAAAGGCAGTTGGTTCGTCTACAATATTTATCTTAGAAAAATGAAAGAATTTTTAAGACAGTTGGGGTAGTAACGAAATGAGCAGTAAACTTTGCAAGAGTTCAAATCTGAGCTCTGACACTTGCTGTGGAATCACCAAGAAGGCACCTGTCCTCTTGGAATCCGTTTCTTCTTCATATACGAAATTAAAATCCTGGCATCTCTCTTTTGGGGTTTGTGAGCATGAGGATCTGCTAGTGTAGTGGCTGACTTTATAGACTTTAGGTCATACAGGAGTAATCAGCTGTCATTCAATGCGAACACAGTAAAAAAGGAATTAAGTGGTAGCTACATTTTAAATGGTCATGTCTGTAACCCTGGCCTAATTTGTTATCGCAGTACGGAAACCACCATCCACTGTGAGCCGAGGCCAGTTTGTATATACCATCATCAGCCAGACACACATCACAACTTCAGGCCTCAGTTTCCTCACTTACAAAGTGGAGACAACTTATCCCCAAGGGCTACGCGGGGCAAGATAAATACAACGGCACCTAAATCTGTACCTAGCTCACAGTTAAAACCCTTAAAACACTCCAATTCTGTCGTCTTCTCTTAAATCCCAGAAATACCACAACTTTCTCTTCTTCATTACTTCTAGATGCTCTGCAGGTTCAGGGCCGCACAGGCTGTCCACGGGCCTCACAGGGACGCACCAGCACCAGGACCTCGCAAGCACCGGCGCACAGACCCCGTCTCCAGGCCGAGCGCAGGGCCGGGCTCCCCACTTCCACAAGGACACCGGAGCTGCCCCGAGACGCCGGGTGGCTGCGAAGAGCTGCCTTTGTACTCAGAGCCAGACGCGGCCTACGGGACGGGACCGCCACATCTGGGGCTCGCGGGCTGCAGGGCGGCGCGGCACGCGTGGGTACACCCTGCGGGGGCGGGCTGCGGCCGCGGGGAACCGCGGCGAGGAGAGGGGGGGCCTGCGGGAGATGCAGTCCTGCCCAGCCGCGCCGAGAAGGCGGGGAAGGCGAGGCCGGAACACACCCTTCCCTGCACGCCTCGGAGCGCTCCGCGGGGTGGGGAGGGCAGGAGGCTCGGGCCGGAGCCGCGCGGGGGACACCACCGCTCCGGCCCGGGAGTCTTGTCAGGCCGGCGCCGCGGCGCTTACCGGCGACCCCCGGGCTCGCGGCTGCCTGACGGGGCCTGGCCCTGGGGCGCCGCTCGCCTGCGGCCCAGTCTCCGCCGTCCCCACACCCGCCCCTCTGAAGAGCCTGGCTAGAGGAGGCAACGGCCGGCCGGACACTGCGGAAGGCCCGGGTTACCTGGGGGGTTGCTGGTGGCTGGGCAGCTTTCCGGGCGGGAGGGGGGCGTCAGGACTAGGAACGGGAGTGCGGACGCAGCGGGAGAGGGGGCGGGGGCTATCGGCCGAGGCCCCGGCAGGTACGCGGGCTGGCCGAGAGATGCAGACGCGCCGGCGGCAGTAGCGGTGGCAGCGGCGACTGTTCCTGTGGCTCCCTCAGGATCTTCCTCGGGCTGGCCCAAGATGGCGGCGCTCCCTGCACAGGGTTTCCTGTCACCCTCGCAATGGCCCGGACCACAAAAGAAGGGGGAGAAGATGCGCGCGCAGCTGGCGGAGCCCGGAAGAGGGTGGCTGAGGCCGGCCTGCTAGCCACGCCCCTTCCTCAGCCCTCACCTCCGGACTTGTCGCGCCGCCGCTGAGGTCCGCCCCATGGGCTCTCACGCCTGGAGGGAAGGTGGAAAGGACATGCGCAGTCGCGTGTCCTCGCCTATTTGGGGGCGCTACTGCGCAAGTCTGCGTGGAACCTGATGGGGTGCGCCTGCGTCTTCGAGGAGTAGGATTTCGCTCATGGAGATTTTAAAACTATTTTTAAAGCCACATTGACCACTTATTGGACGGTTACTGTATACTGGCCACCGTGCTAAGCAAGCATTTACTGCATTCATTCAACGTGTATTTATGGGGGCATTTACTATAGATACCGCTATGTGCTTCGTATATAGCGGTGAACAAGCCAGGCTAGGTCCCTGTTCAACAAATCTTGGAGCCACGCATCCCATTGTATCCACGGCGAAACTGACACTCGGGTTGGTCAACTCGCTTCCCCAAGATCATGCAGCTAGGAAATGGCCCTGCATTTCATCTCTATTTCGACCTCACTTTGGGGGTGCCTTTGACAGGGAGAGAGAAATGTGATATTTTTCACAATTTGCCTACCACCTCCCACCTTCCAACTTGCTCTGCCATTATCACTGTCCCAGAAGGTTTCGTGCAGTTTGGGTGCAGGGCCACGTTTTGACTTTCTTGGGCCCTGGGCACTTTTGCCTTGTGGCTTGTACATTATACACACACATATATTTCACACATATTGAAGTTAAATATATGTATAAATATTTAACTTATATTTTACAACTACATTGATAAAAAGAAGGTATCTCAATATTATATAACAAAATATTTTCTTTGACCTAAGAGTTTATTTTTTGCTTCTGACTTTAAAAGAACATAAGCCAGGACTGGTAGTCTGCACCTGTAGTTCTAGCTACTGGGGAGGCTGAGGAGAAAGGATCGCTTGATCCCAGGAGTTCTGGGCTGTAGTGAGTGCACTGTGCCAATAGATGGGATGTGCGCGCTTAAGTTCAGGAGGGAGGGACCCCCCAGGTTACCTAAGGAGGGATGCACTGGCCCAGATCGGAAACAGAGCTTGTCAAAACTCCGGTGCTGATCAGCAATGGGATCATGCCTGTGAACAGCCACTGCGCTCCAGCCTAGGCAACATAGGGAGACCCTGTCTCTAAAATAAATAAATACTCATTTTCGTTGGCCCCTAAAAGTATTAGAGGCCCTAAGCACTGTGCATACTGTGCCTAATAGATAAGGTGACCGCCCCGCCCCCCATTAAATCTTCCTCTTAGCATTCAGGACCTTTTATGAACTGGTTCTGCCACGAGCAAGTGAGATTTCATTGGAAAAGTGTGTGACAGTTTGTACATCTCATATTTTCAGAGATACCTGTGTTTGAATTCCTGCTCTATAATCTAATGGCATACCATTGTGCATCTCACTTGATTTCTCAGATTGTCAGTCTTTTCTGCAATATGAAAATTTAATATCTCTCTCACATGGATCTTTGTGAAAATTAGATGAGATAGTATATGCAAAATGTCTGGCATATAATAAGAAATGGGAATGATTGTTACATAATAATCTAATATAAGGTGATATTGAAATCCCTTTGCAACCCTAGGTCTAGGCTTTTATTTCCATATTCTTTAATAAGTATAGTTTGTTGTCATACTTCAATATTTTTGAAATTAAGAAATTGGTCTGTGTCAAGTAAAGGAGAAAACTGTGAGCCAATGATCATTAATTGCCAGGTATGAACTTAGACCTGGCTAGTAAGTTTCTTATATCCAACTGTCGCCTGAAGGGAGAGCTGTATGTATGGCTGATATTTATTCGACACTTACTATGTACCAGGAACTATCCTAAGAATCATGCATATTTTCTTATTTAATTCTTACCTCATCTCCATGAAGACAGTACTATATTTACCTCCTTCTATGAATGAAAAAGCTGAGTGTCCTACAGATCTAAAGTCGTTTAGGTGAGAGTTGGCTGGGACTTGAATCTGGCCACATGTAACCTTGGGGCTCTACTAAGCCCTATTCTATTTCCTCCCTTATTTGCACTTGCAGCGCAATAACTAGCTTAAATGTAGATCCCTAATTGCTGCTTTCCGATGTGAAAGACATTACACTTTGATGCAGCTTTGAACAGAAACACTGTTGTGGATGCAGAGTGTCCGTCACATGCTAAGCAATGCAATTAAAGACAGTAGAAATGGTCAATTCTTGTAATAAATCCCAGAATTTTCAAAGTTAGGAGAGTGTATGTGACCAGTTGCTGCATAATTAAGAGGGACTGTCCATTGGGTGCTAAACATCCACTGGGGTTTCTACTTAACTTTTTTAAAAAAACTGTTTCCATAAGAAGAGATGCATACATGTAATATTCACTGTAGCATTGTTTGTAATAGCAAAAGACTGGAGACAGATGAAATGTCTATCACTCGAAAGCCGTAATAGTAAATTATAGTACATCTATATTGTGAAATACTGTGCAGCCATCAAAAAGAATGAAGCCCATGTATATGTCCTGATATGGAACAATGTCTAAGAAATACCTGGAGGGAAAAAAGCAAGGTGCAGAAAATGAAGTCGTGTACCAACATTTGTTAAACTGTAACAGAAGGGTAAAGAAGACATGTATGTTTATGTGACTAGACGTTGGGAGGGGTTTATTCCATGTATACATCCTCTTCCTGTTGTCTTGGATCTGTTGCTGAAGCCCAAACTGAAAACAAAAAGTCCACGAGGAGCCAGCATTCATTGTTGTAAGAACTGCCGGTGGCTGGAGCCAGCTCCCTTCTAGCAGGGCATTTGAAGAGCAGTTGTTGAAGAAACCAGCCATTCCACCAACTTCTACCTCCGCTCCACTGCTTCCTCACCTATTCCCCATTTCCAACCCCTCCCCACAGACACACCATCACTAGTAATCTGTGGAAAGAAAGATTGGAGACATGGGAGGGAAGTCAGCCTTTAGGGAAATTGTAATGTCACGGAAGGAGACCCCTTCTTTCTCTCCCCGCATGGGAACTGTATCCTCTTCTAGAACCGGGGGAGAGGGGCTCCAAAAGAATCTAGTAAGGATTGGGTGTTCCTGCAGGAAGAGGGGACTGGCAACTCCCTCGTTATCTGTCTGTTGGGGCAGCACTGATCTGCTCTGCCCCATTGCTTCCTACACAAAAGAGAACACAAATGGAGAGAGATAGCATTGCAGGGGCTTTTGGATGGCTTTAGGAGAGGGGCTGAAGTTGCTTCCCCCCTTCCTTCCTCCCACTTTGGCTTTCTAGCCCCAGATTGGATTACAGCAAAGAAGTGTCCATCAGAGAGGGGTGTGGCATAGTGACATAAGCTAGCAGTCTGCTGGAAGATACAGCAAATGCAAGGGGGGTCACCTATTCCTGGAGAGATGCATGGGATTCTTCAGGTGCAGATTTTTTGTCATAGCCACCTGCTCTGGCTTCATTTCTGCTTGTGTTTTTATAATTTGTTTTGAAAAAATCAATGTTACTTTATCCTTCATCTCTTCCCAGAGCCCAAACAAGTAAAGTCATTTTCAGATCTCTCCATTGTGTTTATTTTAACCAAATTAATTCATCTCCTTATGAGGAGCTTAATTTTATGTGTTCATTTTCTTCTTATGCTAGTGAATTGTGAATCACAGCCTATCTTGAATTGGAGATTCCCTCCTACCCCTGTGCTTACATTGTCTTTGTGTAGTGGTTTTGGAGTTGCCACCAAGCCACATTCAGGCTTTAAAATAATGCAGTCCCAGTTCCTGAAGTGGTATTGAAGAGTTAGCAGAACTAAGATAATTTGTACTATAAATTTTATTACCATGTGTGTGTTCTACCTAATTAAAAAAAAACCAATATATTTTAATGTAGCTGATTAACCTCCAGCGATACATAGTTTAATTAAACAGAAATTTAAAAAGCTAGTTTAACCAAAAAAAGTTGAGATCAGGTGCGGTCATGGTGGTATGGCTGTCGACAATAACCAAAAAAGAAATGGCAATTAATATACTTCAAAATGTAGCAGGTTGACAAAGAAGTCAAAATCAAGGGCATAAGACTCATTAGTCTCTGGGTATGAAAAAGGGTTAGATCAACTTATGACACTAAAAAAGGTGATGCATCAATGTAAGAATAAGTATACTCTATGTTCAATTGTAAAAGAAATTGTATGTCCATTGAAATAGTACCCTTTCACTTCCCCATATACCTTATGCCACCCTGTCCCAAAAAATATCCTCTAGTGTCATAGTTTATGAGGACATGACATTCTAAAGTTGGCCCATAACAAACAAACAAACAAACAAACAAACAAATCATATTATAAGGTAAAAAGCATGCTTGAAATTTTCTCAGGAAAAGCACCACACTGTAGACCCATTTATTGTCATTGAACCATTCCTTGGGCTGATGACCAGAAGTGGGTGGTTTCAATTTAAGAGGCCATGTTACATGAAAAAAATATGCATCTTTGAACTTTGTTTTGAGACTGGGTCTGGCTCTGTTGCCCAGGCTGGAGTGCAGTGATCTTGACTCACTGCAACCTTCACCTTCCAGGCTCAGGCCACCCTCCCACCTCAGCCTGGGACTACAGGCTCGGTAAACATCTTTCAACTTTAGATTCAACTTTAGAGCACACCATGAGATCCACGTGGAACTGAGACCTACTGAGAATACAGATTTAACTCTTTCATTGCATGCTCGCGCCAAGGCATGCACTTATTCAGAAAAAGGGAAGGGAGATTGGTATCTAGATTATTTCTTTATGGCTTTTTCTGACCTTGTACCTTTAGTTGAAATAATGCTAGTTAAAAGCATGCGTGATGTAACACAACTGAATTAAACTGATGATGAAGGTGCTGTTAAGAACTGAGATTTTACTCTACTTGCAAGCTAACAAGCCAGCCTGCCAGTTTCATGGATACAGGCAGAAGTTGTGAGACTTCTGAGTCAAAGACAGAGGACTGTA